GATTTGTTGTCCCAATAATTGAGATCCAATTCCATGGGACGACTGTCACTGCCATTAGCGCACAGACCGCTCATGAAGTTGTCATAAGAGTCGCACTTATAGGCAATGGGTTGACAGCCTGTGCTCTTGGCGTAGGACTGGTCGGCGATTGCATATATATTGGATCGGCTGTGACTACAAAAGAGTAAACTGAGCACATCTATTGAGTCATTTAAATAAAATTAATTTTAAAATTCTTTATAATATTCTTAAACCAAATTATTCATACCATTACTGACACACGAGATATTGGTTAACATAGGAATGACTGTTCCCTTAAATATTCCACAACCTGGCTGTTGACTACCTGGGTATTATATTTGCGAATTAATATTTAGTAATTATTTCAATATTTAAGAAATTATATAATATTATAAATTAATGTGTTTTCTATATTTGTGTAATTTTATATTGTATAATTTTGAAGTACAATTTATTATTTTATGGTTAAAACAATTAATAATAATAATCATACCTCCATTAAAATAAGAATCAATGTTTCCCAGAGCATCTAAATCCCCTAGACCTATTTTAATTAATTATATTGAAAACAAGTGTTTTATTAACAATAATTGTTAATGTTTAAACTACAGTTTCTACACAAACCTTGTACTCCAGGTATACCATTGGGTGGAATGCCATTAGTATGTATGACATTAACAAAGCTGGCGTCACCGACAGCTAACCTATTCTTAGGGGGCTGTCCACTAAACCCAGGAGCAGCCGGGTTATCAGCTGTGATGTGGCCTACGTTAGGGTTGGTTACGTTTTTGCCCGCAAAGCCCACCACATGTGCGCCCATACTATGACCAATCAGATGAACGTTTTGTGGATCAACACCTAAATTAACGGACAGTCTATTGATAACACAACCGATCATTTGTCCCACAATTTTAGTATTGGCCGCCGATTGGAAATAGTCGACAGCTTTTGCCGGTTTAGACCAATCGATTGCCACGACATTAGCGCACGAGTTGTTCAAAATTAAGTCTTTCATTTGCTGCACACAAATAATTAACAAACATTTTATAGTTTATTGTAATTAAGTATAATATAACTATATTAAATAATTAATTTGTATTTCAATTGATTTTGGTATTAACATTTTTTAAATATTAAACAAACCTCCATATAATTAACTCCAGTTGGGTCACCAGGGTAACCTTCAACCAACCATGAACTATAAATTTAGTGAGAGCACTGGCATTAAAACCGGCGGCAGTCCATTCGTTAGGTTGGGACAGGTATGTCAGGTTTTGTGAGTTATCCCGATTATCGCACGTGAATAATAGGAACTTCACGTCCATTTCATTGGGACTCATCGGCAGAATTAATAATTATTAAAATCATTAATTTATAAAATAGCATAAATCAATAACATATTAAAGCAAATAGATAATAATATTATATTATTATTAATGTATTGTCATGAAAATTATGTTATAATTAAATATTAATTAAACACTACTTTTATTAATGCCAGTCAATATTGTTTGCATTAATATGTTTTGATTTAGACTTTGTTTCACTTTCCCGGTTGAGATATTATCGCCCAATTCATAGTCCATTGAATTCCAGTCCTCATCCCTAAAGCTGTATATAAATGCTGGGATGGCATGTGTTTTGCATAATTTCATTATACAATCCAAATACAGGTCAGCCCCCAATACTTCACGACTGATACCAAATTCACCCAAAACTAGTCTGACGTTAAACTTTTGTGACCATTGAATGGCAGTTAAGAATTTATTCGCAATATAATTGTCATTGATTTCAATCATTTGCGGATATTTGATGTTTGCATAATCAGGTACTTGTGAGGGATATGCGAAACGATTTTTGTTTCTCTGTCTTTGAGTCAATGAAACCGATATTCAGAAGCATTTGTTCTTCTTTAGCCACAAAACGAAGACCGAGTTTCAGGTGAAGGAGCCTCTTGTTTGCGATGAGTTAATGGTAAACGAGTTTATATATTGTATATTGTATTGCATTTCTTTGATATTATTATTCTTAATATAATATTGAGACACTTTATACAAATTATATAAAAATAAAATTATATTAAGCTCAGTAGAAGTTCATTAAATTATATTAAGCTATGAACACTATAAAATATGTAAAATAGGTACACTAAGTTATTATGTATATTTTTATTTATTAAAAATTTAAATTGTAATAACAAAATATTATGTATTACAGTTTAATCTGAGTTACTTGTATCTTTAGTAAAATAAAAACAAATTTAATCAACAACAATTTTTATAATTTTAAATTCTCTAAATTTAACATAAAAATTTAATGGGAAACAAGTTTAATTAAAATGTGTTATATAATTATAAGTTATGCTGCTGAATTTAATTATAGTTAACTCCACAGCAAACGCACTGGCTATTCACATCACAACACTGGGGATAACCAGTATTATTGCAGCAACTGTAAGTTGAACATGATGCTGAACACTTATAACAGCCTGGTGGTGATGGTGAAGGGTACACTTGGGTGATAAACATTAAAAAGTGAATTTTAAAATATAAATCATATGTATCTGATATATGACATTGGTAAACTCACCAAATGTTGAGGATGGTGCAAAATTAGTAGTGTTTGCGTTGACTGTTGTACTATAACTGGCATCCACAGCATAATACAAAGTACCTAGTTATAATATTTTATATTAATTAATATAAAAATTGATAATTATATTGAGAAAATATACCTAAGAAAAATAAAGTGATTCCGATCATTTTAAATGATTGCATTTTGCTACTGCTTTATTAAGATTGTGTTTAAAGTATATTCAACTAATTCCTTATAAACTAAAATGTTATTTATATACCAATTTTAACATCCGTTTTAATGTCTTACACAATATATTACTTAATTTATAAAATTAAAGTCAAGTCATAATAAAGCTATTTTATTTTATTATTATATAAAATTGTGAAATAATATTTATTAAATTTAAATGGTCCTTTTAGTATTTACGTTAATATAATCTGTTTATCTATAAATCTCACATATAATTCTGCAATAATTCACACTTAACTAAATTAGTTATATCTAGGTTATAAATTGTAAATTAATACACTCCAAATTTTATTTTAAATCATGTACAATATATATTTTTAAAAATATTGGCAAATTAAAATTTTATTTACATTAGCCTAATAATGGTTTTAAACAACTACACTATAATAATTTGCTAATAATGCTTTTTTGAATTTAGAAAAAAATAAAATAAACCAACTTAACATATTAGCTCAAGCTTTCTATTTCAACATAAAACACTATTTAGAAATACAAGTGATATTTAATAAATTAACTGAATATTCTAAATCGAAAATATAAATTCAATGTTCATATAACTCACTGTAGCTGAGACTATTTATTAAAATATAATTTAATACTGTAATAATAAAATAAACAACTAAGAAAGCATAAAAATCTATTAGCTTGATTCTTTTAATAAAATTTTCCATTAAAGTACAGGATATTACAATGATTTATTATATCATTAATACTGAATTTATTAATTTATATAGAATTTAATATTATTTAATGAATATTTTTAAGCATTCTTTTTAAACATACTGTATCTCTAAAATAGATTGTTTAATATAAAATATATAAAGTATAAAACAATTACAATTTACTTACAATTTACAATTGCAGTTTAAACATCTTACAATTAAATATTATTAAACTTAAAAAAAATTAAAATAGAAAATAATCTTTTTAGGAAGATAGATTTTATTTTAAATTAAAACAAACATTACAAATAAGTAAATCTTAACACATTTTATTATGTTCCCATTAAAATAATTCTAACAAAATTACAAATTATTATATATAGATTATATATTTCAAGATAAATAAATTATTTATATTTTTATCTTAAAAATAACTTTAATTGAGAAATTGTTGATTGATCATAATTTGTAGCAAGCTTATTTAACCGGAAGCGGGTTCTTCTCCACAACAGCCGCACTTACTATTCACTTGACAACATTGGGGATAACCAGTATTATTACAGCAATAGCTGTTTGAGCAAGGTGATGTGCATGCGTAACATCCTGATGCTAGTGCCATATCTTCTGAGAATGCTGAAAATAGAAACAACAATTCTAAAATTTTAAAATATTCAAAATATGATATCAATTTAATTTAACGTGATGACGGTGAGAAATCTGATGTCGATTCCGTGGTTGTAGTGCTAAAGCCAGCGTAAACACCGTAGTATAATGCACCTAGTTGTAATGTTGTAGTGTTAGAATTTAATATAATAAAAGTTTTGTTCAATTATTATCATATTCTATACCTATACAAAATACAATGACTGCAACATTCATAATAAATGAACCCATTTTGTTAATAATCTAATAGTGATCTTAAAATATTTTTAGCTAATATTGTATATTAACTAAAATTAAATCCTATTTATATAGCAATTTTATGCATCCGTTTAATGTCTTACATAATAAATTTCTAATATTCACAAAATTATTGTCGAGTCATAATAAAGTTTTTAATTTGTTTTTTAAAATTTCATTGTATTCTATAATCTAATTGTGAAATAATGTTTAATAATCTTTTTAACTTATGTGATTTAACAGTAAATTTTAATACAATTTAATGTAATTTAATGAATAGATACATTTACAGTATATATATATTATAAAATTAAATTTTGTATTATTCTAATTCTAATTTAGTGTTTGTATAATTTGTTAATCTTTTTAGGAAAATAGATTTTATTTTAAATTAAAACAAACATTACAAATAAGTAAATTTAAATCTTAACACTTTTTATTATGTTTCCATTAAAATAATTCTAACAAAATAACAAATTATTATATATAGATTATATATTTCTAGATACATAAATTATTTATATTTATCTTAAAAATAACTTTAATTAAGAAATTGTTGATTGATCATTATTTGTAGCAAGCTTATTTAACCGGAATTGGGTTCTTCTCCACAACAGCCGCACTTACTATTCACTTGACAACATTGGGGATAACCATAACCACTACTACCAGTAGTATTACAGCAATAGCTGTTTGTGCAAGGTGATGTGCAAAAGTAACATCCTGGTGTTAGTGCTGTATCTGCCGAGAATGCTGAAAATAGAAACAACAACAATTTCAAGATTTTAAAATATTCAAAGTATGATATCAATTTAATTTAACATGATGATGGTGGTGATGGTGAGAAATCCGATGTCGATTCCGTAGTTGTAGTGCTAAAGCCAGCGTCGACACCGTAGTACAATGTACCTAGTTGTAATGTTGTAGTGTTAGAATTTAATATAATAAAAGTTTTGTTCAATTATTATCAGATTCTATACCTATACAAAATACAATGACTGCAACATTCATAATAAATGAACCCATTTTGTTATTAATCTAATAGTGATCTTAAAATATTTTTAGCTAATATTGTATATTAACTCAAATTAAATCCTATTTATATAGTAATTTTATGCATCCGTTTAATGTCTTACATAATAAATTTCTAATATTCACAAAATTATTGTCGAATCATAATAAAGTTTTTAATTTGTTTTTTAAAATTTCATTGTATTCTATAATCTAATTGTGAAATAATGTTTAATAATCTTTTTAACTTATGTGATTTAACAGTAAATTTTAATACAATTTAATGTAATTAATAAAGTTTTTAATTTGTTTTTTAAAATTTCATTGTATTCTATAATCTAATTGTGAAATAATGTTTAATAATCTTTTTAACTTATGTGATTTAACAGTAAATTTTAATACAATTTAATGTAATTTGGTGAATAGATACATTTACAGTATATATATATTATAAAATTATATTTTGCATTATTCTAACTCTAATTTAGTGTTTGTATAATTTGTTAAACTGTAAATACCGGATTTGGTTTAAATCTTTGTACATCTTTGTACCAATGATTATTGCTAAATTGAAGTGGATAATTACATCAATCTCATAATGATTTTATAATTTCAAAAATAAATTGCCAATAATGATGAATTTTGGAATTTGTGTACCAAAATAAAATTCAAAAATTTATTAAATTTCATAATTGTTAACTTAAATAACTTTAAATTTTTCGGATAATGTCTGTCTAGACTTAAGACAATTACATAACTATTCAAGAGATAAAATTAACATTTTCAGTCTTTGAGAATATTTTTATAACTTTTACAAAACATAATTTGCATACACAGGGTATTTTAATTTTCAAAGTTATAGTAATTAAAAAATTACTAAAAATTAGTCATCTAATTATAGTAATTAAAAACATAATTTTTATTCAAGTAACAATATAATGAATAAAAATTTTAATTGATCATTATTTTAACA